TTTTCAGCGAGAGTGGCTGGGGGACGATCTGCTAAAGCTTGTCCGTAAATATCAGGCTTCTAGACAGAGTATGTAGTAACAAATTGACCCTCTAGGGGGCAGTGCCACTTTTGATGGGAGATGAGCATAGACTGTAGGCAAATAAGAAAAAGGTAACGGTTCTATGAGAGAACATGTCGCCGGTGAGACGCAAGTCCAGGAAGAACGGAATAAGGTAGAAACAAAATCTTTTTTCCTGATGAAAGAAGAGAGTCTACTCTTTCTTTTGGTGTGTTCGGTGTTTACATAGTCATAGCACAAACTATTCTGTGGCTCTTGAAAAATCAGTCAAAATGTATAAAAAAACTCTGGCAGTATGGGACTCTGTTCTGAAAATGGCTGCCAGTCAATGAGTTAATTATTCCTCTCTTTTCCTCCCCTCCTCTGATCCTGAGCAGAGATCCATAAGAACGTGATTTCCCCCCTGGAGGGCGACTCCAAAGAAGCTCTTCCCCAGAAACACAGCGAGCTGAAGGACCGGATGAGGGACCTGAGCCACGGCTTCGAACGCCTCCGCAAGCTCAGCCACGAGGGCTTCAGCGAGGACAGCGGTGAGGGGGGGGCACATCCAAGTCGGCCATTTTGATTAGGTCACCAATAGGAAGATCCCAGGCGAGAAAATCCTAATTGCTTCATGGCAATATAGACATTAATTTAGAAATAGTGACATGATTTCTTGCAAACAAAAATAAGTCCAAACAAGTTTAACCAAAAAATATTTATTTCTCACAATTATGAAGGCTGGAGGGTTAGGGTCAGGTTTAGGTTTAGGGTTAGGATTAGGACATTGTTCGTCTTCTGATTTTGTATATAGAGTAAAGTTTCGTTTCCACCTGCTAGTCACATGACCTAATCAAAATGGCTGACTTGGATATGGGAGGAGTTGGATTTTTTTAGTCTGAAGTCTTTCTTTGGCCCCTCAACAACATATGAAGAAAAAAACAGAAATTATTTTGATCAAATTAGCGTGCAATAAGTCAGAAATATATTTAGGTCTAGTCTTCTACTGGCTGTTATCAGGTATATCTGAATGTGTACAACAGGGGTTTGAGCAAAGCTTTTACCTCTGAATGATGCAAAAAGTCTCAGATCCAAAAGTATTCAGAAACCGTATGAATCAAATATGATACATTTGGCATTATAGGGTTAAAATATTTCTGATTCTGATTGTAGTCATCAACAACTAGCACAGAGGTCAGAAACTCAGTCCAAAGCAGCTTTTCCTCACAATCCCAATTATTTTGACCTCTAAATCTATTCCTGCAGCAATAAGTTTAAGGTTAAGGTTCAATTTAAGAAATCTTTACTATTATAATACAAAAAAATATATATTTTTTTTGTCCAACCACTATGATGTTTCCAGTAATAATGATGCAAAAACTCTCAGATCCAAAAGACTTTAGAAACCGTATGAATCAAATATAATACATTTGGCATTATGGGGATAAGGGAAGAGCAGAAATTAACTGAAATCTGAACCCGGACGTTTTTCTCCGGCTGTCACACCAAATATCCTCATCTCTCTCCGTCTCTTTTCTGCTCCCCAGAGTTTCGGGAGCCTCGTGTGATTGAGCTGTGGGAGTCGGCAAAGAGAGCAAACCTCAGCAGGGACGAGCTGGACTCTCTCAAGGTAGAGATCCTTTTAATAAATAAAAGATTCCTCTGCTCTCTTTTTCTCTAACCACTCTGTAGCCGACAGGTCAGCTCACAGAAACCTTCAGAGGAAGTAAAGCAGCGTCTACTGTCACTGAGGCTTTTAGTGCCCTAAGAAATGAGACACACTGGAACCAAGATAGATGGATGGATGGATAGATAGATAGATAGATAGATAGATAGATAGATAGATAGATAGATAGATATTTATGCATTTAGTGGATAGATAGATAGATAGATAGATAGATATTTATGCATTTAGTGGATAGATAGATAGATAGATAGATAGATAGATAGATAGATAGATA